AAAGTCACACAGTTTCAGTGTTATTCAGCTAATTATTGAATGCCTATTTATTGTCAATCTGCATGTTAATAACCCTCCATCTTTTCCCCTCTGTTTGGACAGAGCCTTTGGATATTTCATGAAGAAATTCTCTTCAGTTTCTGACCAGTTCACATGGGTTGATTCTAATCAGGAGGAGTTGGTGCTGAGGACCTCTCAGTCCCGTGCTTTCACCAAATATAGAACTGGCACTCATTGTGCTCCAGGCAGTATATTAGGCCCTTTAGGAGATGTAAAGATCAATAGGTTAGTTCCGCCCTCAGAGAGCTCGAAATCTATAATGGGAACAAATAATTTCACAAAGAATGATAACACAAGGAAGCGTCTTAAAACTGCCGTGGAAGTGGTATAAGCCGCCTAGTATGAGGAATCAAAATTGGAATGATAATGGTTTGCTTGACATGACCAAGGAGGCTTCATAAAGGAGGTGATAGAGAATTAGACCATGAGAGATGAAGAAGCTTTCCAATGGCAGGGGCCAGAGGAGAACATGTGGCAGAGGTCATAATGTGAGCAAAAGTCTACATTTTCAAAAATATAGAATGGGAATGAGAATACTCAAAGTTTCTGGATCACAGCATGAAGGAGAGCCAGAATTTGGAGTAAAATGGGAATTATAATGTTAGTGTTGGATTCCGAAAGGGTTTGGATGCAAAGTTTAGGTGATTGGATCTTAACGCTCTTGGAAAGTCTGTGGATTTCTACAATTTTATTTGGTAGAAGAGCCTCAAGGGGGAGTGTTTTTAAGAACTTAATTAAAAGATTTATGAATTGGGCAGGACCATGTAGGACAGACTGGAGGCAAATAGAACATCAGAAGGTTTGTGCAACGGCTTAAAGTGGGAGGTAATGAGGACTTGAAAACAGATGGGGGTGGTGGGGATGGAGGGGAGAGGTGGCTGCCATCTCCTAGCTTTTTCATTGAAAACACAGGCATCATCCCTTAACACTTTTATTGAGATACCGGAAGTCAATTCCTAGTGAAAACTTCAATTAGTAGAATCATAGCTGCAAAAGATTCACTTTTCCCTTCCAAGCTTCTGTTTTGGCAAATGGGGAATTCATTACCCTGAGCAAGTTCTACAGCTCTCTATCTTTGTCTCATAAGATGGTAGAGAATATAAATTGATGATAGTCTTCTTTCAACTTCTCTATGTTTTAAAAGAATATCTGAAAGAAAATTTATTGGAGATTAGGAGTGAGCATGACATGGTACTGGAGGAGCCCTAGAGTGGGAATCAGGAAGTTGGAGTTCCTGCAGTGGCTCTGTCCCTGTCTACATGTGCCTTTGGGATAACCACTTCTTCTTTCTGAGCTTCCATGTCCTCCCAGATCAAATGACAGGGTTGAGGTTGATTGAGTTTCCAACCTTTCCCAGAGATAGAGCCCTTGGTTCTGATATTTCTTTAGAAGAATCTAAGGTATGAATCAGATGCATGAAACATGTAGCAATGAGGTTGAGGCTGGAATGAGGAGCTTAAGTCTTTGGAGCTCCATGAGACATGGTCAGAAACCCAATAGGCATTGCAGATTGTTAGATGATCCCAGATGGTCCTTTAAGCTCATCATAGTGACATGAGTTTCTAGGCAGAAGTTACATACTGAGCGCCTTACCACCTGTGTGCTCCTGAGTTTTTAGAAATTGGGAGCAGCTGGTGCAGCTACATTCTGAACGTGGGGGTTTTCTTTAAATGACTCATACATTTCAAATTTGTTCTTGCTTCACGTTTCAGCACTAGTGGTTCTCTCTTCAAAAGATACCCTTTCTCCATACATTTGCATGATTTACTTCTTTTGCCTGAAAACCTATCACTTGGATTGGTCCCTTTCAAGGCTCTGGGAGAGATGCTGGCAGTGTGCTCACATGATCACTGTATATGCATAATTTACAAATGTAAGATATTTAAATTATAGTGGATTATGACCACAATCTTTCTTCTCTCATTTTCCCCTCTGTCACACTTTCTCTTGGGTTGGCGACTTTTGAAACTTTCTGCCTCACTGTCTTCATCTACATAGTGAAAATAATGACAGTATCTACCTCTTAGTGTTGTGAAGGTTGAATATGTTCACACAGAAAAAGTGCTTAGAACAGTGAGTGCCTGGTATGCAGTGAGTGCCTCTTATTTTATTCTTATCACTATATCTAGAAATTGACAACATAGTAGACATATCACCAGATTCAAGGTCTGGCCAAACCATTGTAGACCTTAAGTAACTTACTAATTCTAAGAACATCAAGCAGAAAAGGTTCAAACTCCTTCTCCTGTAGTTGAAATAACTAAGGCCAAAGGAAATTAAGTGGTTTCTCCAAATCTTATAGCTAGGAGGGGTCCAAGGTAGGACTAAGACCTAGATTTTCTGATAGTAAGTGAAGTGGCTCTTGAGCATGAATCACATGCCTAGGCTGCCTAGAGCAGTTGATCACTCCCTTCTTTAGTGACTTTTACACACACTAGTCATTTGGGCTCAACCCCAGAGAACAGACTGGAGAAGAACAGGATGTCCCCAACAGCCTGCCAAGAACCCTGCAGAAACCTGTGATGCCTAGGGCCAAAACACTAATTTTGAATGGGTTGTATTAGAAGTTAGATTTCTCTTTGAGGCTATTCCCTGGCTTTAAGGTATGGCCAAAGAGCAAAGGCTAATCTGAATTGAAGTCCCAGTTCTTGAAAGTTAGAGCCATATCTTGTTACCATATGCAAGAATAAACTTTGGATATATTGGATTATATAAATGTAAAACAAAACAAAAATATTGGTTGAAGAATACATGGGTGAATTTTTTTATAATCTCAAGATGGTGAGAGTCTTTGTAACTATGACACAAATGTCTATATGCCATAACAAAAGGATTGAAAAATTTGATCACCTTAAAGAACAAAAATGTAATAAATAAAAAATTTAAATCTCTGCATGGCAAAAAAAACATCAACCCACACCAAACAAAAAAAAAAATAAATAAACAACACACAAAAAAACCATAAGTAAAATTAAAAAACAAATGACAAATTAAGAAAAAATTGCAACTCATGTCCAAAATAAAAGGTTAATGATTTCTTTAAATAAAGAGAGCTGCCAGACATTAACAATACAGAGATAACATTCCTTACCTATCAGATGGGCAAAAGTCCAAAAGTTTACAAAACTCCCCTTTGATGAGCTTTTAGGGAAACATAACGAAATTACTGGTGGGAGTAGAATCTATTACCTCATTGGAAGGCACTATGGCAACTTTTATCTATTACTTTGACCCAGTGATTTCACCTACACAAAATGTAATATGCACAAGTTTTTTTATTGTTTGTATAGCAAAAATCTAGAAGCAATCTAGGTTATCATCAAAGGAATGATCACATAAATCATTTTTCACCTCTACAGGGGAGGATCATATAGCAAAATGAGAAGCTTTTTAGGTACTGTTATGGGAAGGTCTTCAGGAAATATATCTATATATATAAAAGCCCAGCGACTGGAACAATGGAATGACCGAAACGACTGGAATGACCAGTCGCTATGATGCGCACTGCAGCAGCCAACCAGCCGGATTGGGGCCCGATTGCCAACCCCACCCTGATCAGGGGTGGGGCTGGCCAGGCAACCTCCCATCCATGCACAAATTTGTGCACTGTGCCTCTAGTATATAAATAAATGATATATTTTTATTGATTTTAGAGAGAGAGAGGAAGGGAGATGGAGATAGAAATACATCAGTGAGAGGGAACCCGATGTTGATTAGCTGTCTCCTGCATGCCCCTTACTGGGAATTGAGCCTGCAACTCCACAACCTGGGCATGTGTCCTCACTGGGAATTGAACTAGTGACCTCTTGGTGCAAGAATGACACTCAACTAAGTCACACCAGCCAGGGCTCCAGGATATATATTTTTTAGTGAAATAGGAAAACACAGTATAGTTTATGTAATATATTATATTTTAATAGAAACAGGATAAAAATATGGAATTGTATTTGCTTGCATTTGCATAAATTATAAATGATATCCAAGAAAGCAAAATTAAACCACTTTTAGTTAGTGCTAGGGAGTGGGATGGGGGATGGAACGGTATGGACAGGAAAAAAAAGCAAGAGGATTTCCAATGAATGCCTTCTTTTAAATTAAATTTATTGATGTGACATTGGTTAATAAGGTCATATAGGTTTCAGGTGTACAATTTTATGATACATTATCTATATATTGCATTGTGTGCCCACTACCCGGAGTTAATTCTTCTTTTGTGACCATATATTTGACCTCCTCTACTCTTTATTATCCACTGCCCCCTTCCCTTTGGTAGCCACCATACTGTTGTCTGTGTTTATGAGTTTTTGTTTGTCTTATTTGTTCACTTGTTGATTTCAGTTTTATATTATATATATGAGTGAAATCATATGGTTCTTGATTATTTTCTGTCTGACTTATTTCACTTAGCAAGATATTCTAAAGATCCATCCATGTTGTCACAAATGGCAGTATTTTATCTTTTCTTATGGCTAAGTAGTTAATCCACTATATATATGTACCACATCTTCTTTATCCAATCATCTATCAAAGGACACTATCTATTTCCATGTCTTGGCCACTGTGAATAACACTGAATAAACACAGGGGTGCATATATCTTTGCTAATAAATGTCTTTTAATTTTTTGGATAGATACCCTGAAGAAGGTTTGCTGGGTTATGTAGTAATTGTATTTTGAATTTTTTGAGGAACCTACATACTGTTTTCCATAGTGGCTGTACTAGTTTACATTCCCACCAGCAGTGAATGATGGTTCCTTCTTTCCCAAAGCCTCTCAACCCTTGTTCTTATTGAACTAGGTGTGAGGTGGTATCTCATTGTAGTTTTGATTTGCATTTTCCTAATATCTAGTGAAGTTGAGCACCTTTTCCTATATCTCTTGGCCATTTGTATGTCTTCTTGGGAAAAGTGTCTGTTCAGGTCCTCTGCCCATTTTTTTTAAAACCAATGAATGTCTTTTTATACTGCTTTGATGAAATAGAAACAATTTGCCTATCCAAGAAGTAAAAGTAGATGTAAAAGAATTCCCAGCAGTGGCAAATATGTGTAAAGTGAGTTTGGACAAGTTGTTTAAACTTCATGAGTCTCAACTTTTTCATCTACAAAATGAGGGGAATCAGAATCTGCCCAAAGCTTTCTTTCAGGACTTTGCAAAATCAAGCTCATTCTTGACTCAAGTCATTCACACTCTGTGCCTTCTGTGTAGAATGTGCTACACGGAGGTTTTGGAGAACTCCAACTCTCACACCAATTTCCTCCTCAGAAGTCTTCTGTGGCCACTCTATATACTGTATTATAGTTCCCACTCTACTGGCCTATTTCTCTATTTTGATTTTCTCATAACTTCTCAATAGGGAGCTGAACTTCCTCTCTCTCTCTCTCTCTCTCTCTTTCTCTCTCTCTCTCTCTCTCTCCCTCTCTCTCTCTCTCTCTCTCTCTCTCTCTCTCTCTCTCTCACACACACACACACTCTTCCTCTCTCTCTCTCTTTGATATTTTGCATCTCCTTTATTTAGTCTGCTGGTTTTGAACCACAAGAAGAGGGCATTGTTTGATTTCATCACAGTTGAGATCCAAGTACCTAGAACCATGCCTCATGTCTGAGATGTATTTTTTTAAAACAAACGAATGAATGAGTATTTAAAGAAAAAGAAGTTCAAGTGTTTAAAACAGGAAAAAGGAAATATTTGTGCTTTACCAGGAACTTCTTAAATGTACGATTCTTCAACAGAGCAATTGCCCCGTTTTTCAAAAAGTGCTCTATCTAAAGTCTCTCCTTGACCCTCTTCTCATTGACCCTTGACATTGTCAGTGAGACTTTTACATGGCTCTTGTACTTATGCCCAGGATCGAGATGATTTGAATAAGGCCTGTTGGTAAGACTACGTTAAAGATCTTTTGGAAAAAATAATAACATTGGACTCCACTTCCCATTTGTCACTCTGGTCAAAGCCATCTTGTGTTCCCTCTGCTTCTTATTTGCAGAGGAAACCTTCAAAGAAAGTTATCATGTATCCTTAGAGTTCACACTCCTGGCACACTCCGGTATGCCAATGGCACTGACAGGTAAGCAGGAAGTTCTTACACATTCACCAGCCTCCTTGAGAGATGCAATTACATGCACATCAAGGCTGACATCTGCATCATGTTTCATAGTATGCATCCATCCAGAGGGCTGCGGATTTCTTCAAGGACCTGTGGGAAGAGTGAACGAGATTATCAGGAGGTGAGACTCTAAGATAAAAGCTGCTACTCCATGGAACATATGCTCTTTTACTTGGTTCAGGGTCATGTTGTCATTTTCAGTTATATGTGAAAAATATCTTCTTCTGTTGCCCTTTGGAGGGAGTCAAATACACTGACTTGTGTTTTTAGCAGGTGAGGTCACCTTTCCTTTAGGGAAGAGATTGTTCTTCTTTCAATTACTCTCTTCTGTATCCCAAACCATCACCTACCCTTTTCTCTCATTTTTTTAAAACTCTTTTGAGATTCTTTAAGATAAAGCATGCAACTGTATAACAATCCATCCAATATACATCTACCCATCTTATTTTAAAATGTGAAAGATACTTTTCTAGGCTCTGGGGATGCAGCAATGCATAGGAGAGAGGTAGGTCCTGTCCACGTGGAGTTTCTGGTCTAGTGGGAGACACATATTAAAGAATTTGTTACCTAATTTGTTGTTTAGTCTTGATTATGACACAAGTCATGAATGAAGAGAGCCAGGTGCTGCAAGAGCATGTGACTTAGTCATAGGCATCAGGGAAGACTGAGGAGGAAAAGGCATTTGAGATGAGCCTTGAAGAGTGAATGAAAATTGACAAGGTGATAAGGACAGGTTGGAAGAACATTCTAGGCAGAAGAAAAGGTGACAAAGGAAGTGAAATGGCAAGGGTAGGGGGTTATGTAACAGATGAAGGGAGGCCAGGTATCTGGAGGGCAGAGAAGGAGGAGGAGAGGGGTTGAGTCTGACACTGGAGCACTAGGCAGGATCGGATCAGAATAAGACTGGCCTTGTTGGCTTCTTTCAAGATACTGTTGTGGTTTTATTTGCTTGTTTTTTCCCCCCAATCCTAAAAGGAAGTTATTGAACCCAGATCACCGGCTGTTAGTCTGACCAGCACAATGCTTTCTAGGGAACTGAATGCTTCAGGATGGATATGAATTTTCAGTTCCCTCAGGGCTTGCCATTCTTGGTCAGTTACCCCTGGGGTCCAGTCTATAGAGGATCAGACATCCCTGCCCGATTCACACATTTATGTCCTGCTGGACCCTGCAAGCATCTTCGTTTGCAACCCTGGAGCAGAATCTTTGAGAGTCCCTCCCACCACTTAAGTTGTCAAGCATGCAAAGGCTCAATAGGGGACACAAAGGCAAATAGTACACAGCCCTGGTTTTAAGAAGCTTGAACTTAAGTGGAGCAGAAAGGCATTTCCACTAAGAAGTACCTAGAAGGCAGAAGGTACATGGTAAAATTATTATTATTATTATTATCAAATCTGCAGTTGATGCTGTCCATGTCCATACCGGGCATACAGGAGCCTCTTAATAAATGGTTCCTGGGTGAATGAATCACAACCCAGTGAATAGTATGGGGACATGAAGAAAAATGAGAGCTGAATTGAGGAGACTCTGTTATTACCTGACAATATCTCCAAATGCCTTCAATATGGGCTTATTCACATACTGCAATCCATGCTTGGCACACAGGGACCTCACCAGAGGTGCCACCTTCTGATAATTATGGCAGGGCATAGTGGGAAACAGACTAGGGAAACAGAAACAGGAGATACAAAACTTAGACCTACAGAGCAAGTGGAAAGAGGTTCTTTCCCCCATTACTAAATAAAATTATGTCAGCAATGCAGACCCAATCTTGACTTTGCACAATACTGCTGCAGGAAGTTAAAAAAAACTCTTGCCAAACACTCTTATATTATCTCTTAAACTTCTGTGAGCCCTGTGGTTGGCAATGTTTGGGAAGAGCTAAGAAAATAAATATTAGCACCATAAAAAATATTTATATTTGGCAGCTCAAATGAAAGTATGGATTTTTTTTTTTTTACTATTCTAAATTATCTAGAGAGCTGAAGATATTTACCTTCCATCTCTGTCTGTCTGTCTGTCTGTCTGTCTGTCTGTCTGTTTCTCTATCCATCTAACTCCTGAATCATGAATAGATAAGTTCTAGTAATGGCATATGGGGAAAAGTTCTAGGATAGGAGTAAGAAGTGAGGAAAGACAGGCTTTCATCCAAGGCCAGATGACTTTCTTGGGTTTTTATCTCCTCTTTGATAAAATATAAATAATAATAATTTCTTGTTTTGCTGGGATTTTAATATGAAAGAAAGGATAAAAGAATCCTATGAATAGGTATAAGATCTCTTCCTTCACTATCACAGAAATGGCTTAGATAAAGAGGTTGTGGAAAGTCTCTCCTCTGAATATTCTGGGGAGATTAACTCAAAGGATTATCATTTACTCTTTCTTTAGGGCATGTTTGCCTAACTGACCCATTGGTAAAGTATTTCCAGATACCATTTGGAAATTGCAGCAGAGACTGGATTTCATTGTTGATTATTTTGTAACCTCAGTCTAAAGATATAGAGAGATAGGCATTTAAATTAAATTGCAATTAAGTTTCAACAAACTTGGTTACCCAGGTGTCATGTTTTTTCTTGGGTTTTGCCAACAAACCGAATGCAAAGAAAACAACAATTTCTAAATCCATGGGAATCTGGAAACCAAATTACTGGTGGTTTCTAAGATTTCATTCTATTTACTCACTATTGTTCTACTTCCTTCTTTTCTTTTTTATCCTTAATGTTAGTCGAAAGATAGCAGTCTTTAACGAATTCTGGTTCATTTTTTTCCTCTGTGATCCCAACCCTACGGCTCTGCTCTGGACTGTATGGAGGCTATTATAAGTCAGAGCCCATTCCCCTATCATGGGCTGTTTCTATCACTTACTGGTGCTCAATTTGGAAGTTCAGGTGCCCAGTGAACCCAGTCATTGAAAAAAGACTGTTCAACATTACAGGTGGCCAAGACCTGCAAAGAAAAAGTTTACATTAGATAAAATAAGCTCAAGTGTCAAACAGAGAAAATGTTTAGTTCCCTCCCCCGCCCCCCTCCCCTTTGGTAGGCAATCATTCAATAAGTGCTCATTGATTACCGCTTTTGTGTAAGAAACTATGAGGAATAAAAAAGATAGGTGGTCCCAGGTAAATAGCTTACAACTTAAAACAAATAAGACATTTTGCTAAGAAGTATATATAAGGCAAGAGATATAAAAAAGTGCATAGAATTTGAGGGGGCTAAGTCACCATCAGCTCTTGGATACAAAAGACTAAGCTGTCACCAATGAGGACCTTGGCAGATGAAAGTGAGAATAGAGGATTTTGGGAGAGATTGTAGGGGTTAGAGTCCATTTCCATAGAATGGAATTGAAGGGCTTCTCAATGGGGAATAAGGCATTAAAGGATTTTAACCAAGGGTTCTGTGCTTAGAAGTACATTCAATGTAAAGATTTTCCTTTGTAATCTAATGTATTTTATTTTATGCATTGAAAAGTATTATCATGAGGAGTTTGTAGGCTTCTTCAGACTGCAAAGATTAAGATCCTTTGTGAATGTTATTTTACTCAATACCTTTCTAAGGTTTAATTCCAGTTGAGTTGACATTTTGAATATTATTTTTGTGGTTGTTCTATGTCAGCATTTCTCAAAGCATTCTTCAGAAAACCTTGGGGTTCCCTAGGACTTTTTTCAGGGGATCTGCAAGGTCAAAATTACTTCTGTAATACTTCTAAGACTTTTTTTTTCTTTTCATTTTCATTCTCATGCTTGTACAGTAGATTTTCCCAGAGGCTACTAATATAGGATGGCACCATCACTCTGAGGTATTGCTTTGATTCTTATATTAATTAATAATGAATTAATAATGAATTCATAAATGTTTGAAAGTGTTTTAATTTCAACTATAGTAAATATCCATGAATATAAATAACTGATAGAAACACAAGCTCTTTCAGGTCTGCAGTGACCTTCATGAGTGTCAATGGTTCTGTAACCAAAAAATATGAGAACCACTACTTGATGCCCTATGGAAGGGTTCACTGAACTTGGAAGTGATTTTGGAGAAGTAAGTAGAATTATGACTGTATTCTCCAGTCAATCATGGCACAGGAGGTGGAAGGCTGAGACGGTAGGGCTGTTCTGCACTGGTTAAAACTCTGAAGCATTCACAGATGCTTGGAGAGCATGTCATGTCTCCTCACTGAGCCTCTCTACCTATACAAAGAAATGAGGTACATTCCAGTGTCCTTTTGGACGTTAAATTCATTCTGTAATTGAAAGGCTGTGTCACGTGGTCAGCAAATCTTTTCTATAAAGTATCGAACTGCAGATATTTTAATTCTCTGTCAGAGCTACTTAATTCTGCTGTTGTAGCATGAAAGCATTCATAGATAATATAAAAATGTATGAACATGGTTGTGTTCTGAGAAAACTTTATTTACAGAAATAGAAAGTGGGTCAGATTTGGCCCTTGAACTGTAGTTTACTGACTCTTGGTTTAGAGCAAAGGCTCTGAAATCAAACTGCCTGTGTTTAAAACCTGTTTGTAACACCTATTAACTATGTGATCTTATGCAAGTTACCCAACTTCTTCATGCCTCAATTTTATCATTTGCAATGTGGGAGTAATCATAGCACCTATCTCATGTAGTTTGATGCACGGTAGTTGACAGTGCTAGGTCTCTGGCAAGCATTGGATAAGAATGAATTCATATTATTGGAGATAACCAGACTCTAAATCATTATGCTTTGAAGGATCCTCTCCCAGGAACTTCATTACTACCTGAGTACTGAGCCAGTCTCTGTTCTCCTCTCTGCTCATTTTCATTGGTATGTGGCTCATCTGCGTAACACATGCAATCCAAGGACTTTCAAGAAACCTTTTGGAGAATAAAAGGAGGAATTGATGACTCCTTGAGGTGTTACAGTTCCAATCACTGGGCTTACATAATTGCTGACAGAGTTGGCTGAGTATTGGAGGAAGTAAAAGTGACTCCAAGGTTCCAGTAAAATAGTGGTCATTTATTTTCCTCTTTAAATCTAGAAATGACACAGTAGGCATTTGGTCACAAGACCTACCTTGCTGCCTAATGTGCAGAAGCAGTGCCCCAAAGTTTGCTGTAGCATTGGTGCAAGGATAAAAAAAATACCTCAGTTAAGGGCGTACACAGCCTAGGCTTTGTCATCAGATAGAGCTGGGTTCAAGGTCTGGTTTGGTACTGCCATTGGACCTTACAAGCTCTGTAGCCTTGGGCAAGTGATTAAATTTCTCTGAGCTTCAGCTTCCTTAGCAGAAAATAAAATAATACTATCTACAATACAGGATCGTGCAAGGATTGCAGCAAATGAGAGAATGCCTCTTAAGTCTTTGGCAAAGTGCCTAATGCAGAGTAGCTATTATTATCTTTATTATTATGCCTAATGCAGAGTAGCTATTATTATAATGGGGGGGGGGTAAATTGGTTTAGAATAATAAAGTAAAATAATGAGGGGGGTAATTGGGAAGTTGAAGAGGGCTATTCAGTGGGAAGTCATTTTGGTTTTGGGAAAATTCTTAGTCATAAAGACATGTGTTAGACAATACTCATGTGAATTGGCCAAAAACAAAACAAAACTCGAGGACTGTATTTGTGACTAATTGTATAACAGGTTATTTTAATTTCTGTTCTGTGGAAAGTGCAAAGCATTCCAACAAAGGGTTTTAATGTAGGTTTTTTTTTTTTTTTTTTTTTTTTTTTGCACCCATGCTGTTGATTGCTAAATGTAATGGTCTGATCATGACACTGAATAAATGTGTCTTTTAAAAAAATTTTCTTCTCTTCCATTATCTTTGGAAGGATTATGATGTCCAACTGGATTACAGTTTTAAAAGATTTTGGGGTCAGGTGAAATACTTAATTGGGAATTAAGCAAATGGGAACAAAAAGAGAAGATCGGGCCAATATTTTTTTCTAAGGAGCACTTCTTACTCAAATATTTCAACTTTTTTTTTTCTTCACAGTTACAGAGAATGGGGCGTGATGTCATAATCTTATGCTAATCACAAATGGATTAGATAAGGAAGATAAGAGAATTATCTAGGGAATAAGTGGATATTCTTGCTTTCTTACTTGACCAAATATATGAGCAATACTGTTCCGAAGATTCCATAGAAAGGGCCAAATGTGATGAAATAGCGGATGTAAAAACTGCTGACCCAGACAATGTCCTGCGGAGAGAAGTGTCTGAAAGTTAGATGCTCTGAACACAATCTCATTTCCCCTTCATTGGGCTAGGGTCCCTTCATGTACTGGCTAAATCTTATGTCTCGCTATTCAAAAAGCTCTATCTGGAAGAGACTAAGCATTTTCATTTCCCATTTTCTACTTGATTTAGCTTCAGAGAATGAGTTGTTACTCACCCTCCAATATCTTCCGAGGTACATCACTTGCATGGATTGCAGGTTGAAATATACTGGCATGAGGAGGGGAAGCCCAACTGAAAACAACAGTAATAACAAAAAACATGTTGAATAAATGAGTAGAATGTGTCCTCAGTGCAAGTCAGCAGGGCTCTATCTCCTTACCATGCCACCCTGCAATGTTGCCTCTGAGAAAGACAGCAAGCTTGAGATCCAAAATGGGATTTTTTTATTCTACCAGGCTGAACCAGGAATTTGGTTCAAGCTCCCTCAAGAAGACCAGGGAAGCTTTCAAGATTTGAGTCATTCTTGATGGGGGCATCCTAAGAGAGCTTTTGCTGTGAGCTTTCAAGTTATCTCAAGGTCTATGGAAACCTTCCATCCTTCACAATCCTCAGGCTAGGGCCTGGTCACAATATGTCAAGGTAGCAGAAATAAAGAAGCTGTACTCCTTTCTTGGCTTAAGAATCATTTACCTGCCTTTCCCCCAGGATCAGTGAGGCCAGAGCACAAACTAGTCTTATGGAGAACCTTTGGGTTTTGACAGACTCTCTCCTTGACCACACTTTAGTCAGGTCCTCTGAGTCCTCTTCTAGACTAGGCTGTGTCCGCCTGCAAACTCTCAAACTATGTAACCTCTCAGCACAAATGATTTCTTCCATCCCACATACTAAGAAACTTGAACAAATACTAGCATAGTTTCTAACAGCTCAGGGCCACATCCCTGGGATGCCTTTCTTTTCTTAGAGCATTTATGTTAGAAATCTTACAATTGTAAATGCTTTCTCTGTCCCTCTGAGATGTATCTTCTATGACCCAGAATGGCTTCCTTAAGGACTTTATTCTTTTCTTCTTGTAGGTGTTTAGTCTTTCCACAATTAGAGTTCTAGATTTAAGACTCTTTGATTGGCATCCTGTCTTCCATCCTTATCAGAGCATTTCTTTCCCTACCCAATATCCAGAGTGATGAAATGCCTATTAAAGATTCCTATTTGCTTCTCCATTTTTCCTTTTCAGTTTTCCACAACAGTAAGTCTAAAAGAAGGCATTCTGCTTTTCTCAGTTATAAGATAACATGGGCTGGTCTCTCTGTGAGAGCACACCAGTCATGTCTTCTAGCTTGACTACTGCTTGCTTTAAGGAAATGGAATGATAAGGAATTTGGCTCCAAGGAGACTCACCCATGTAGAAGTAAAGGTGCTGCTTTTCATAGTCAATGTATTTGATTTTCTTCTTGCCATACTGAATGGAGAGAGAATAAAACTTAAATAAGTGACAATATTTCTGGCCATTACACTCGAGGACATCTGTGTGTTTGTGAGTGTCTAAATCTCTACAGAAAGAGCCATCTGATCAGAGTTTATTGGTTGTTGACTTAAGGCACTAGAAGAAGCAGAGGTGGAGTGGGGAGAAATATTGTGGCATTTTGCCTTAATTAATTATGAACAATTCTTATATAGATGGTTTATTCTATTTGACTATGTGGATTATGATCATTTTTTAAATATTTTATTACCATAGAAGCCATTTTGAGACTTTTTTGGTCCTTCTGTGGAGTGGTGATTGAAAAGGCACATTTCTCATGAATTTTTCTAGCTCTTCTTTGACAGTGGTGTTTACAATTCTGCTTGAAGCTCAGTCTCTATCTACATTCATTCAATAGATACCATGTGATAAAAGATACAGGCATAGCGTCTCCTATCTGTTCCATCTTTCCTCATTTGTGTTCTGATCATGGATCTCATGCTGTAATTTCCTATTTGTAAAGCACAGTGATATTATATCTATCAGTGCTGGAAATTTGATTTATTTTCTATGGGTCTCCTTCATTCATTTAATCTGTTCTCAGTGCATGAAGACAGAAAATACCTCGAGAGGAGGAATAAAAGTAATGGTTATATCTTCAATAACTAGCGGGCACTCAATAAATATTTAATTGAATGAATGAATGGTAAGTCACATCCTGCTGTATATTTTATCTGTATATTCACTCAGTTACACTATGGGCAAGGTTTGACTCTTGCTTTCCCCATTCTTTTAATACTTTCCCACCTATATACAGATTTCTTCTCTTATTTGGAAAGTAGGTCTGATCCTTTCTTCTCATATTGTTATAAATGAAAAGAAATATCATGGTGATGACATAATAATAGTTATTTGCAGTTACTCTCAAACTTCCAAATATTTAAGTGGTAGGGAAATGGAAAAGGAAATACATGAAGAAAGCTTGGGAGTTAGCAAAGCTAGGAGAAAGGCTGGTTTTGAGTGTCATTCCAAAGGAGGATGCTGTCTTCCAGGAGCATAGGAACTGGCACATAGAAGATTTAATTAATGCTTGTTGAAAGAATGAATGTTTGAAGAAAGTGATAGAAATATTGACAATAAAATGTGAGAATGCAAATATTCTAGACTCATCAGAACTATTTTTTGACGTGAAACAACTGAATTTTAGAGTATAAATAATTTTAAGTAATGTTTTGTGCAGTAGCTTTGAAACTATGTTATATAGATCCCTAAGATGCTAGGGATATGTCCCAAGAGCAACTGTAAAACTTGGGGAGGTGGCCCCAATAATTTGTGAAGCTCTAGAGAAGCCCCTTCGGAAGAAGGTCAAGCTGCTTCATGAACTTCAGTGAGACAAATCTGTCTTTGTCAGGGGGGATGATAAATCAAATGTCACAATTTTAGTGATGAGCATGAAGGTCACAAACATCAGAGAGGTCCAATTTGTTTGTGGAGCCATGGTCAAAAGCAACTGATTCATAATCACAGCCATAGCTTTTGTTTTTCAAAATATAGGCAAGAGAATTTATTTCCTAATTCAGATGGAAAAGAGAGTACTACAAGACCCAGACAGCAACTGACTAAGCTAGATTCTTATTTTTATAAAACTCCAGAATAGTCATAGTCCTAGGAACATAGCAGATTCTTCCTAAGTACCCAACTCCCAGGATCCCTGTCCTTAGACCTCCTCTATTGAATGAAGACTTCAAAGAAATTTGATTGTCCTTTACATGATGACATTAAGTGAGGCTTTTAAAAATATCAACCATTGAGAAATTCTGGAGTTGACTTTTTCCTTCCTTTTTCTATATTTTAAAAAATATAAATTACAGGTGTGGTCTCTAAGTATCTTAAGAAGCATTTGGGCTGTGGTTCATGTGTAAATGTACCAAAATAAACACAAACTAAAAAGAATAGCATTGTTTCTTCTAACTGAGCTAGAATTAGTTGAAATAATTAGAGATTTAGATGTTTGTACTTTAGTTCTTATTGAATGTACTGACCTGTTTCCCTGAGTGAATGTCTCCATATTCTTGGAGAGTCATTGCTGACCTCACATCACCTGGTTTTACTACCTAACATTAGCATATGTTGCTTCAAAGCTAGTGACAGGAAGTGGGCAGGTATCTGCTTGTCATGAGGATTGCTCAAGCAGAGTGATATGAGCTATATTTCTTACACTAGGAGGTTGTACTGAATGACTTTTAAGGACATAAGAGTCATGCACTCCACACCTCCTAATTTTACAATCCCAGGTTCAGTTATTTCAAATCCACATCCTGGACTTAAAAAGAGAGACGTTTTCAGAACACGTGTGAAGTTGGAAGCTTTAGCTTGATCTTTCCAAAACAAGGCAATAGGCCTTTCTAAGAACATCATCTAGAAACTTCTAGAAACCACTTCTAGGAACTTCTGTTAGCCAGGACTTCTAAACGTACCTTGATAGGTTGCAAATCTCCAACCAGGAAAAGTGGACCCACATCAATATCTGGGTCTTTTGGGTAAATGTTTGGTTTTGTGTGATGTTGGAAATGTCGGTGATTCCACCATTTCACTGACAGGCCCTGAGGAGAAGAGAGGATTCATTAGTGGTGGCAAGATTTCTCTTTTGAAATGCCCTTCAGAATTAGAATTTTTTACATACATCTCCAAAGTTAAAACAAGATATTTGAGCTTCTCAAATTTGCTCCCACTGCTGGGTCACAGAATGATTCACTGGACAGGCACTCTCAAAGCCTACAGACAAATACTCATCTGAGTCAGGAACATAAATTCAGGCTCAAACAACACCTGATGGTGAAAAATTATAAGAATCTGGTGAAATGAAACAATTTCCTATCTTTCTATTTTGATTCCCATTAAAAGAAATTCTGGCCCTAGGTGGTTTGGCTCAGTGGATAAAACATTGGCCTGCAGACTGAAGGGTCCTGGGTTTGATTCTAGTCAAAGGCAGTTACCTTGGTTGCAGGCTCCTCCCTGGCCCGGGCCCTGGTTGGAGCTTGTGCAGGAGGCAGCCAATCAATGTGTTTCTCTCACATCGCTATTTCTCTCTGTCTTTTGCTCTCTCTTCCACTCTCTCTCTCTCTCAAAAAAAAAAAAAAAAAGGAAAAATATTCTTGGGTGATTATTAAAAAAAAATTCTTATAAAAAAAATCTGGATGTAGGTGTGGCAGAGAGTAGTTTTTCTATTTAAAAATCTAAAAGGAAACCTCAGCTCTAAGACTTTAATTAGTTGTGGAGAAAAAAATGGCCCCAGGAATTCTACTTCAAAGAATATTTCAAAGAATATGGATTTGAAGTGATCTCCTAGGGGAGCTTGGCTCAGATCATTGCATGTCCAGGCTTCAGTGCTCTCATCCTATCTAATAAAGAGGGAATATGCAAATTGACCATCACTCTGCCACAAAGAGGGAAGCACCCATAGCCACAAGATGGCAGTGCCCAGTCCCCTCGGCCCCGCCAGAGTCCCTCAGTCCTTTCGGCCCAGCAGGGTGGCGGTGGTGGTGGGGGATGGAGTGGCAGGTGCACAGTGCGGCTGGACCCACCCTCAGCCCCCCAGCCTCCCAGGGCCGGCCCGAGGTGCAGGCAAGCCTCAGATGTTGGCTTGCCAGCGCCTCAGGCCGGCCCTGGGCGGCTGGGGGGCTGAGGGCGGGCCCAGTTGCACATGCTCCTGCTGACCCCCCAGCTGGGCTGAAAGGACTGTGGGACTTTGGTAGGGCTGAAGGGACTGGGTGCCGCCATTTTGTGGCTATAGGCGCCGCCATCTTTGTGATGGAGTGACGGTCAATTTGCATATCCCCTCTTTATTAGATAGGATTTGACATCTCTCAATAACTGGCCAATACATGTTTTAGATCTTCACTAGCCAATACAGTACCCATAGCCATATGTGGCTATTGAATATTTGAAATGTGACCAAATTAAGATGGATTGTAAGTGTATAATACATACTGAATTTTGAAGATTCAAGATAAAAAAAATACAAATATTTTAATTTTTAGACTGATTACCTATTGAAATGATGATATTTGAATACATGGAGTAATAAAATTACCTTTTAAAATGTGGTTATTAGAAAATATAAAGTGACATACCAGGAACACACTATACAACTATGGTAAAAGAGATGGCTTTGTTTTAAAAATCTGTTAGCATTGCCTTCCCATAGTCTTCACTGCAGTTTTCTCTTAGCAATCCAAGCCCTCAATCATCAGGAGCAGTATTCTCTTCTCACTTCTAACATTCCCTAATGTCCTTCCAGTGGAATCTCTCTCCAGTCCAGTGCTCTCTCCTGAATCTCATGCTTGAACGGGAGATCACTTTCAAAACATTTCCTTTGGTTGTCTCATGACATCTCAAACTCAACATGGAGTCATCAGTTTCTGTTCCCCCTTTTGGGGCTCCAATGAACTCTGCATTTCTCCTATCAAATTGTACACCACCCATTCACTCTTACAATTGTGTATTCACTCATTTATTCACCCACTCATTATGTACTTTGAAGTTTGTCCCATGTATCAGATACTGAAGTAGGCAATATTTAGAATATAAAGATAGACATGATAAGATGGGATTCCCACATTCATGAAACATATAATTTAATAAGTGCAGGAGACAACTAAACAAGGACACTGTGATAAGCAATGGTTCTCT